CCCCATATAATCCCCCATATAATCCCCCTTTAAGGAGTTTAGACTATAGCTCATATGAGCCCTTGGGTAAACCCTTTGTAGCCTCCTCTGGGGAGTCCGCCGAGAAGTTGCCTGCCAGCAAAAATCCCACCTTGCCAGGGTTAGGGTTCTTAAGGAACAGGGCTTGAGGGGTTTTTAAGGTTTTGGGTTTAGGGCTTAAGGGTTAAGGGTTTAGGCCTTAAGGGTTTAGGGTTCTTAGGGTCTAGGGCTTAGGGGTTCGGGGTTTAGGGCTTAAGGGTTTAGGGATCAAGGATTTTGGGTTTAGGGCTTAAGGGTTTAGTGTTTAGGGCTTAGGGCTTCAGGGTCTAGGGTTTAGGGCTTAAGGGTTTTGGGTTTTGGGCTTAAGGGTTTAGGGCTTAAGGATTCTAGGGCTTAAGGGGTTAGGGTTGAGGGTTTAGGTTCATTAGACTTACTTAGGGTTTGGGGGGGTGGTTTTGCGTTTGAAATTGTGGAAGTTCGGATTTGGAGGAAAGGGAAGATTGGAGCCCTAAACGCTTGTAAGTTTATCTCGTCTTGGGGCCATGGGGTTCAGGGCTAAGGACTTGGCTCTTGTAGGGTTTAGGGTTTTGAGGCATGCGCTTAGTGTCCGTGTTCGAGTTCCGGTTTAGGTCAAAATCAACTAAGTTGGAAAAATCGGCATCCCCCAGCCATCTCAATTATTGGCCTACTTGCTTAGTCTCCATGACCCTCCACGTACCCTCCTGAATTCCCAAGCGCATGCAAGATACGTACCAGGTGCGCGTGATGTCCGCAGCATCTTCACGAGAGAGATTCATGGTCCTTGGCAAGCACAGGGTTGGGCCTGTGTCAAGTTTAGGTTTTAGGGTATAGGGAGTCGTTAGGTAACATACGAGCTTAGGCAAAATAGGGCTTATGTAAGGGTTTTTGCCTGAAGCCAGCGGCATGTCACGACTAATTGCAACACCGGGATGCAGACCCTACACACTAAACCCGCTACCTTGGGTGGACCCCCCACCCTGTAATAGTCACGATTATGGATAATAGGGATTATATTAGGGTCCTCTTATATTCCTATTATACCACTATAACAGGGTGGGGGGTCCTCCTAACCTCTACCTTAAGCCATCAACCCGAAATTGCAAAGCGAGGTTTTTGAGGCAAAGGTTTGCCTTAAATCCTAATGCTGCAGATACCAAGACTGCCAGGCTAGCTTCGAGGGCCCTTTTAACAGGGTAGTTTCGAATGATTCTAATTCCCAGTCTTAAGGCAATTCTGGTACTGTACTATTCCCTATGTACGCCACCATTTAGGGTGAGGTCAGGTGACGTCGCTTTACATTGCCCAGCTGTAAGCTTTCTCATGGTAAGTAGGGAATGAAGCAATGGTCAATGTCCAATGGGCTCTCCTTTGCCTGGGTTGCTGTTAAGGAACTTAAATTAAGTTACCATAATGGGTATATATAGTAAATAATAGGGTTGCCCCAATATAGTAACTTAAATTAAGTTCCTTAACAGCAGCCCAGTTGCTGAACCAAACCTGCTTAGCTTGCAGCTTGGGAGCATCGGAAGGTTGTGGATCTGATACGCGGTCTTCAGCCTGTTTGCCGCCTCATGGCTCACCAATTCCTGGCACACCGGGGTACTTAGGGCTCATCTCCTGGGGTAGGGTACTATAGGGTTTGGGCAATCCCCATGAATCCCTGTCACCGGAGCAAAAAGGCGGAGGGCGTAGTGTAGCTTGGGATTTTGGATAACCTTCCGGGGTCCACCCTGAACCCGAGCAAACCCCTATAACCCCAAATCCCTAAATCCCTAAACCCCTAAAACCCTAAACCCCTAAACCCTAACTCCCTAAACCCCTATATACCCCCTATATAACCCCTACAAAAAGCCTATTCAAAAAAAAAATTAAAGACCCTATATGCCCCCTATATAACCCCTATAAAACCCCTTTAAAGGACAATCCCAGGTCCTCCAGCGCCATGGCCAGTTGCACAAGGCCCTCAAGGTCGAGCCCCTGCCATGGGGTCTAGATAATGGGTTTATATGGGTTCTTAAGGGGTTCTATAGGGGTTATATAGGATTAAGGGATTTAGGGTTTAGGGTTTATAGGGTATATAATGATATAGGGGTTCAGGGGGGTTCAGGGTTTAGGGGTTTAGGGGCTCAGGGTTGAGGAGTTCAGAGTTTAGGAGTTTAGGGATTCAGGGTTTATAACATATTTGTGGGTTTCCTTTTACGGGGATTCTCGGGGAAAGGCTTGGGATTTAGAATTTGGAGCCTAGGGTTTGATGTCCAGGGATATGCAGGGTTTAGGACATAGGGTTTTGGAATTTAAGGGCTTCACTTCCCGGTATTCCCTGCAGCACGCTTACATTTCCGCAACCTTCCAAACTTCAAAAAAACGCGTATGCAATACCCCAACCCTAAACCCTAAGCCCCTAAACCCTAAACCCCTAAACTTTCAAACCCCTTAAGTAGTGGCATGGGCGGACTTCATCCTAGAACTTGCAACATCATGTTCATACATGATCCCGACAGATTGATAGCAGTTTTCTCCATATTTAAGTTAGGGACCTAAATAATCAGAATAGCCTTTGGGTATATGATGTTGTAACTTTGTAAGGATTACCCCAAACCCTAAACCCTAAACCCTAGGGGGGGCCTAGAGGAAGCAATCATTTGAGTCTCTGCATCTTTCTGTATAGGCCTGCTGATGGCACCTGACAGCTTCACTGATACTGCTTATCTGGGCCCCAAAAGTATGTAAAATAATGGCCTTTATGGTTATTATTATGGGTTTAGGGCTACTATTTCACATACTTTTGGGGTTTAGGTAGCCACTTACACTACCACTGAAGCGAAAGCTTGTCGATAACTGGAACTTAGCCAACCGCGAGATACAGTTCTGTAAGAAGCCCACCTTAATTCAACTAGAGATGCCAATAGGCTTTGCGCATTGATGGCCATGAGGGCAGGGAGGATTTTCTGGACTTCGGTCTGCGAAATAGTGTTGAGGTTTGTTTTGGTCCAGTTTGGGCTTGGAGATTTGAGGTTATAAGTTATGAGGATTTTGAGGGACTGTTGGATACGAGCCGTTTATAACCTTGGGTCGAGGTTTACTTGCAAAGTGCCGGTAGGGCAGGCGATCGGCAGGCCTGGAGACTTGCACCGTTTGAGGTTAGAGTTTATGGTCTCGGAAAAGAACTTGATGACAAGGGGACCTCGACCCGTCAAAAAAGATCTTAGGACCATAACTTTACAGCCCTTGCATGCGAATCACCCTTATCTTGGGACTGATGTTTCCCAAGCCTCCTGCATACTTTTACGAAGGCCAAGGTGGCTCCAAGGTGTTAGGCTCCTATAGACCTTTGGTGGCTTAGGGTTCGGGGTTTAGGGTTTGGGGCTACAGGATATGAAGGCCTACAAAGGGATACTGAGGAAACTATCTCTCCATACAGAACCCTGCCGTAACCTACCCCTGTAGCGAGCTTCTGAATACATTCCAACTCCCTGCATTCTTTGAAGTAGCTCTGCCATCACCAACACGGCTGCTCATAAAGTTATCATGGTTGATGCTGGTTTGAACTTAGGGTATACCTTCAGGGTCTCACAACGAGAGCATGACTGTTCAGGTCCGGGTTCCAGAATGAGCCCTGGATTCGGCGAGGAATTTACAAACCATGGAGTTGTACGTAATTGGGGGTACAGCTACCTACCCTTAACCTCAAACCCTAAATCCAGAACACGGCCTTGTGGTGCAGTTGCTTTTCGAGCAGGTCCTGCATGTAGGTCGGCACCCACTCCTGTTACAAAGATTCACAGATGGTTTACGGTTTAGATTTTACGGATGTTGAAAAAGATACCTAAACGGAATCCTTCCTCAAGTTCTGCCTTCACCCACCTCAACTGACAAGCCAAGCTACAGATGGATAGTTACAAGGCTCATACAAGTCTTGTATACGGCAGTGGGGTTGTGTGAGGCTTCCGACCAGGGTACCCACCTGATAACCTTGAGATGAGAAGCAAGGGGCGAAGAATCTCAGTGACAGTGCTTCTATCCAGCAGTTGGTAATTGATCCAGAACCCTATGTGAACTCATGGTAAAAGTTGAAGTCAACCTCTGCCCTTATCTCCAGGTTACCTTCAGTAGGCGAACGGGGATAGGCTCATATCACCCGCTGTAAGGAGGTAAGATGACATTGCTTCTTCCGGTCTTCCGTAAGTCCTGAAGGCGTTCACTTGCCGAACCTTGCAACCCCTAAGCCCTCTAAACCCGATACCCCGTAAGAACTTGCGGCCCCACAACTGCATCCTGAACTTCACCCTAGCCCCCCTTAACTCTCCAAGCCCTCAACACCAAGCACCCTTTACGTCCCCAAAAAACCCGAAGCCCAAAACACAAAACCTAAACCCCATTAAGGCTCAAAGCTTCCTAAGCCCTGAATCCCCAAATCCCAACACCTAAAACCGCCCCTGAAGCGATGAAATCGTGGGATCCTTGACCTTGCCCAGCTCGGGCTTCTCCTTTTGCGAAAATAGGATTAAGGGTTAAGGTTTTAGGGTT